AAGGAGATAAGAGAGAGAATGTCAAAGGACTTAGTGCAGATGCCCTCTGTCCTGATTCCCCCGGGCTCCCTGGATTTGTTCCGTGGCGGGTTAAAACCCAGCCATCCTATTGGAAAAAAGGCAGCTGCTGGCAGGGAGCAGAGGGATAGAGAGGAGAGGGCTGGCGTTTGTAATGGATTGCGATGTCACGTCCTACTAGAAGAGTTGACCCAAGCACGCCTAACCATGTAAGATCACAGGTGGCAAGAATTCGCCTACACAGGTATATTCATGGAGACTGAGTCTAGGGTCATGCAGGCGGCTTCCAGTGTGCTTGTATGATTTCGGTTTGGGCCCTTTTGTCTTCACATGTGATCAGCTGTGCCATTTGGACGACCAATTAATCTTTTCCAGCTGTATAAGGAGTGTGTGCTTTGGATAGGTATCCAACACAAGATGTATGCTTGCGAGATTATTCTATTTATACCCTCTGATTAGGGTTACAGAACATAAAAGCAGATATTGGTCCCGCAACATCAGAGCCACTCTGCACCATGTGGAGCCAAAGTCCAGCCAAGTTCAGCAAGTCCGCCCATGCTCCATAGCTGACACTGTGAGCAAGAATGGAGGTGTTTACGGATTCAGATACGACTTATCAACAGCATGTTGCAGCTGACTAGTCCACTCACTGTGAAAGACCGGCACTCAGACGACACAAGTGAAGTGGCTCAGCAAGAAGAGAAGATACTAAGCTTATTGAGAGGCACACAGCATGAAGACTTGTCCCGGATTCTTAGACCCTACTCTCCACATGGTCTCACATATATCCCCTCCGACCACTACCCATATAATCCGTGAGTGGCTCTAGCGCGATCTGGTGACAACGGCGTAACATTGCACCAAGTCAAAGATAGAGGTGGGAATCCAGCTATAGGCTCTCTACACACTAGCTATAGGTGCCCACGTGAGCGAGAGTGATAGCTCGTTCCTCGTGAACAGAACCGTTCTTGCCTTTCTGTCTATAAGTCCAAACCACTATCTCTCAGTTGTGACCGTTCTACATATTGCAGAACACCATATCATACGGTCGACAGATATACGATGAGGATTATTAAGTTCGTATGCACTGTATCAGCTGACCTAACAAGAGTCTGGGGGGGGTGTTTGAGCTAAGCAAGAGAAGCTATATATATGTGTATATACATATATATATACTATATAAAATATATATTATGTTTTTTTTTTTTTAAATACAGGTCTCACTCTGTTACCCGGCTAGAGGTGCAGTGGCATCATCACAGGAAGCTATATTTTAAATACAACTAAAAACATACCTAATAAGCAACCATGGAACCCAGGCAATCAAGATATAGTTTACAAGTAAAATTTTAAAAGCCCAAGAAAATAAAATGACATCTACCCTGAAACATATGTTATTAACCTAAGAACTGTGACACTTGTGATTCCTGTCACTTCAATTTGGACATATTTAAATTAAATTTCTTATTACCTCTGGCAGTCTTAAACATGGCTTTTTCTCTTATTGCCACTCATAGTGTTCTTTTCGTTATTTCTGGCATTGAATGTTTAATGTAAATTTGAAACCAAGCAGGTTCATTTAAAGAGAACCCATGCTAGCTACTGTGCCAACATAAGGGTATAGCAGTTTATGCTATTTACTTTCAGGAAGAAACAACGTGAAGGAAATACTTTCCATGTGTATCTATAATTTTTACTTAGAAATGGTTAATATCTTTAAATAATTTTTGCTTAACGATTTAACTTGTAAATGTCTAATTAATATGATAATGTCTAATCATTTCCTAATATTTTAATATTTTCTAAGTGCTTACTTTAGATTTCTTCCTAAAATACTGTTAAATAAACTAAAGACTAGTTCCATACTACATAGAAAATTACGGTAGCAAAAGTTACAGCAAAACTCAAAAGACAAGTTAAATTTTTTTTAAAAAGGCAAGCAATAGTATCAAATAAAAATACCTGAGAATCCAAAAAAGTCAATTTTTGAAGCATACATAACTCCCAAGGATATAAAGGAAGCTTATAAATGAGATTAACTCAGAACCATTTCCTTCAGTTCTATAATCCCGAACAAAACAAACAATATGAACTTTAAAATAACTAAAAGAGTGGACTTGGAATGTTCCTAATAACAAAAAATGATAAATACTTGAGGGTAATGGGATACCCCAATACCTCTGATTTGATTATTACAAATTTATATGCCTGTACTCGAAACATCACATGTACCCTATAAATAATAAACTATTATGTACCCATAATAATGTTTAAAAAGAAACAGTATGTTTTAATTTATGCCATAACCAATCTTACATTATACAGCTAAATTATATTTTAAAGTATGTTTACATAAAGGATACTTAGGACATAAACAGTCAAGATACAAATTGTACATATAATCCCAAATGAGGAACAGCTTGAAATAAAATATGCAATGAAGTTAACAGAATATAATCAGTGATGGGACTTTAACTGATATGTCCTTTATTTAGTCCAAAAATTTTATGAATATGTATTATTTTTATAACCAGAAAATATGGGTGAAAAGTAATGAATTATGAATTAAAATTTAGAAAGAGGGAAAGTGGTTTTAGAAATTCTCTAGAAAAGGTATGCTTTTTTTGACTTTTTTTTTTTTTTTTACTATTTTTCTTCATTGGCTTTCAAAGTTACTCAAAATGTGATATAATAGCTGTGTTAACAGAATAACATTGTTTGCATAAAAAGAACCAGTTGTGGGATAAAATAGGAAGTAAATAATAAGGTAATGTCTCTTAATCTCTCCATCTTTACTCCTAATTAAACTCGTTTGATCCAGGACTCAGGACCGCCCCAAAACAGACCTATCCTATCTGAGAGCAAATCTAAATGCTCAACTATTCTATCAAATATCTTCTCGGCTTTCCTACGACAAAGAAACAGGAAAACAAAACTGCATTTCCTTTTGCAAAGACTCTCATGAAATCATCATCTTTCACAGAAGATCTGTATTCCCCAAACAGTACCTATAAAAAGAAAGCAAATTATGGTTTGTCTTACTTTTAAAAAATTTTAAACATCTAAAAAATTTTTTGGAAGTCAGATTCTATTTGCATCAATATATCACCCTCTTCCAATCATACTCTATTTTTTTCCTTAAAGTATTATGTGCTTACTAAGCATAGACTCTGGATAAACAATGTTTTTATGTGGATTATGTCATTTAAATTTACGTTCTTGAGCAGCTAGTTAATCTGTCCAATAACCACAATTTAGTAGAACCTGGGATATAGTACAAGCAAATCAAACTCTATTGTTTAAGTTCCTTACCATTACCCTATCTGGTCTCACATGTGGTTGTTTTAAATCCTAGGTTATCTCATCAGCTTTCTTTGGGTATATAGTTACTGTTAGATAACAAATATTTTTTAAAAGTTC